CACGCCCTTTTAAATTCTCGAAATGTGTTTTACAGCCGCCAGAAACAGAACCGTATATAATGATCATCGAGTTTCTCTCGATTTAACGAGCGGTAATACGATGAGATTCGTTTTTTACAAATAATTTTGTCAGGTCAGGTTTATTTGCTTTGATATTAGCAATAACTTTTCGAATTTCATTTCAAATATTGGTATCAACGAGAATTCAGAATGTTCCTTAATTTATTCTATACGAATAATTGTTATGAAGAACCTAACTTTACTGATTGAGTATTCCACATAGAAGCCAAGAAAATACTGTACGCATGACGCCAAAAATTGTTTTTCTTTTGCCTTGCAGAGAATAACAGTATAGTTTCCGCACTTGTAACCTGAATCACAATATTACATTGGGCATAATCAAATTCATAATTGAGTATAAATGAGACAGACGCGATTGAATGAATTAGAACAGTACGACATATCGCACGTTGAGAACAATAGTGTGACAACTCAAAAAAGTTGATTTTTGAGTTTTAAAACCACCGTCGAATAGCAAATTTCGAGCTCTACACTTCTAGATTATCGTGACATCTCTAGGTCCAATAGCTGATGCGTGACATCGCTGGTCACGTTATTGCACTAGAGGAGAAGGAGGAACTACAGCCAAGCAAGCAAGTGACTTTCTGCGTTGTCACCTATACATCGCAGGATACGCCTAGTATTCTGACTGAGAAAATTTTTATGATTAATAATGTGACAAGTCATAAAGTCACCTTATTGATTGAACACAATTTGAAATTTTTTGAGTTGTCTCGTAATTACATTTTCATCATTAAATGAAATAACGAATTAGATGCAACAAATATTTGAATTGTAACGGTAACAATATGGAATATTTAGATTCATCACATTATTGCATGCGTTTCACTTAATGGAATGGGGTAGATAATACGAGTTTTTGCAGAGAGATTGGAATAATAGCAACAAGGTGATAGCCCTTAGAAATAAAAAGGAGAAATACAGAACTAGAATGAAACTTCCGAATCTATGTATAGTTTGAATATTTCTCTTTGCATGGAATATCAAGCTTCACCTCATGTTTAAATTCCAATTTTGAAAAATATATTATAATTCCTTCGGATTGAACATTTGGAAAAAAGGGTGTTTGAAATTATCCCCAAGAATAGCTTCAAATCCGAATTTCATTATAGGAATCTCCTTCTTTCAGAAAATTTAACTACACCTCAGTTGTGCCAGTCACTTCTCTTCCCAAACTATGGCATTTCAACTTCATGCGAATTTTCAATTAATCTTAATGCTATTCACCTCAACATTTTTCTTTGGCTAATACCCGTTTGTTTCTATTCAGAAACTGAAGAACAAAGAAAAACTGCCAAAAGAGGAATGTTCAGCAACCGAAGGGCACGATTTGGATTTTGCTAATATGGTAGGAACTCCGAGCACATCTTCAATAAATCCAGTCATGAATATAATAGGGTCTACAAATGAATGAAAATACCTATAATACATGTTATACGGCAATTTTTGGAAATGTTACATTTCAGAAAATTGGTGCTATTCAGGCGTGACATCACTTAAAATGGTCGAATATGATGGATCAAAACTGTGACATGTCGAAACTATTTCTTGAGAAATTGGAAAAAATACTCGAAAATATTATAACTAGAAATTTCTCAGGTAAGCTCATGACAAAATGATATAATTTGAACTAGATATACTTTTCGCGGTGAATGAGGTTCACCACAGACGAATTCATCATCATTAAGAAGTCGAAATTTTCAAAGTCGATTTTCTCAAAACGAAGAATTTTGAATTATCACACTATTGTTCTCAACGTGCGATATTTTTATTTGTATATCATTATAACTGGAGAACAAAAGACGATAGCAAATTTTTCTTCTCCCTTATTAATTTGTCTCAACAATATAGATCGAAAATTAGACGTTTAATACAGAGCCTTGTTTTCCTTTTACGAATATGTTTTTGTGCTTGTTTCACGCCCTTTTAGATTCTCGAGAGGTGTTTTGCAGCCGCCAGAAACAGAACCGTATATAATGATCATCGTGTTCCTCTCGATTTAACGAGCCGTAATGCGATGATATTCGTTTTTTACAAACAATTCACTGTGTATGAATATCATGATATCGACACATGGAGAAATGTTATTAATTTTGTCAGTTCAGGTTTATTTACTCTGGTATTAGCAATAACTTTTCGAATTTCTTTTAAAATATTGGTATCAACGAGAATTCAGAATGTTCCTTATGTCATTCTATACGAATAATTGTTATGAAGAACCTAACTTTACTGATTGAAAATTCCACATAGAAGCCAAGAATACTGTACGCAAGACGCCGAAAGTTGTTTTTCTTTTGCCTTGCAGAGAAAAACAGTATAGTTTCCGCACTTGTAACCTAAATCACTATATTACATTGGTCATAATCAAATTCATAATTGGGTATAAATGAGACAGACGCGATTGAATGAATTAGAACAGTACGACATATTTCTATTTATATATCATTATAACTGGAGAACGAAAGACGATATCAAATTCTTGTTCTCCCAAATGCCAAATTCATTTGTCTCAAGAATATTAATCGTTCAATACAGAGCCTTGTTTTCCTTTTACGAATATGTTTTTGTGCTTGTTTCACGCCCTTTTAGATTCTCGAGAGGTGTTTTACAGCCGTCAGAAACAGAACCGTATATATGATTATCGAGTTCCTCTCGATTTAACGAGCGGAAATGCGATGAGATTCGTCGGGGAAATGAAATTCCACCGAGGCTGACTTGCCGTTGCCGGTTTTCCGATCTTGAAGTTTCCAACTTCAGCCGTATCTACGAGGTATAATAACTTTACCACCTACGTACCGCGGGAATGTAAACTGTGCCAAACCAAATTAATTATTGCTATGTACACATACATGCATTCATGAAGTTTGTACTTTACTGTGTGGTCAGACTCACCAACCAGATTCGGTTGATGGGCTAGCTTTTGTTTTGATTCATGCTATACAGGATCAACCATTCGTTATTATATGAGAGCTATGTCCAATAATCATTTCCCAGTTTACTTAAAACAGTTCCCTCAATATTCCTTCCAGTTGCCAATGCCACTTCATATACAGGGCTTTCATTTTTCAAAACGCACTACCCTGCATATCTTCTAATCTGCGGTGATTACGATGTTGGATATCGAGTAGGAAGTAAAATATTAGTCAACCCTACTTTTTGGAAATCACACCCCCTACCTCGAGATACATAATATTCGAGGTTTAGCAATGACGAAAGCTAATAAGTGAAAAACAATTTGTCTATACAGTGTGTGCCACTTACCATACTCACCATGGGTATCTTTTTAACGGTGAGAGATACGAGGTCGGTTGAATGACACCAAATGTGGAGTTTGTCAAGGTCAACTATAATGCGAAAAAATATTTTGATAAGATCTATTCGTTTTTGTTTTATACCCAAAAAACAGATTTTGATCATTTTCATGTCTCCTCCGTAACTTCTTTATTCATGAAAATATTCAAATAGGAATTTCACATTCACATAGCAGTTTTTCGAAGTGATTTCGAAAAAAACATGGAATTTATACCAATTCTTCTAGAATTTGAGATATCAGCACAAACTTTAGTTTTTCAAATGTAGGTCATAGCTCACTATGACTTCGTTACAAATAACTTTTTTTTCTCTAACAGATGATATGTCGCAGTTATTGTTTTGTGTTGATAACAACAGAGTTATCGTCATTTATACAAAAACAAAAAAATATTTGGAAGCCGACATCGTGAATTTATGAATTTTAACAAAAAAATCATGATCTCCGACCTCAAAAACCCCCCGCTTACCAATTTTGAATGGAATCGGACCAAATCCTGTCCGTCATCTTGGAGCAGCCATTTTTTTCAATTTCAACAAAAAATCCATAATGTATTGTCATTCAAAATTGGTGAGTGGGGGTTTTTGACTGAATTTTACCATATTTCGCTAGCTTATACTGTACAAAACTTAAAGGGGAGGGGAGGAGATTTTCATTCCTCATTGTATATCCGAAATATTTTCAAGTCCGTAAGGATAATAATAGATTTTTTTGTTGATGGATATATTCTGGAATGTGGAAGAACGATTGAAAATCTATCAAATTCGGAGAAAAACATTTGGGGAAGTTCAAGTTTCTGAAACGAATTTGATTCAAATGGTATGTCATTTTCTTTTTCTTTTACTAAATGAGGGACAATTTAGATTTCGCATCGATTTGTATTATTGTTCCTTATACCTATGTCTATCAGTTTTCGAGTTATACTAACTTTATTTCGATGTTAAGGAAAATTCATTACTAGCCTCAAACAAGCAAGTATACTGTTTTTACATAGTTCGCCATGGAAATGAGATATGTGGAATACATTTCTTATCTGATAGTTCCCAAGTTATGTTATTTTTTCTCGATTTTGAGAATATTCATCACTAGCCTCAAAATAGCAAGTCATATTTCGAAGATTGGAATCTTTGGCACGATAATCTACATTGTTTTATCACTAACCAAACCGATTAAAATAAATCGGTTTGGTTAGTGCTAAAACAGTGTGTAGTGTATAGCAAGTCATGTTTCCGCATAGTTTGCCATGAAAATGTCGCAAACCAAGCTTTCTACGACCTACGGTAATAGGGATTTCTTTGTGATGCTCTATCACATATTATGATTCAAGAATTATTCTTATTATATAGATTCCTGAAATATGCGTAGGCAGAAAAGTTGACTAATTGTGAAAGAAACTGAGATATCCAGTAGGAGCATAACAAAATTGTACACATTTCACTTGCCATCCTCTGATGATACTCGAGTTCGTTGAAATCTGGTGAATTTTATGACCATTTCAAGACAGGTGCCTTTACTTTTGAAATTATCACAAATCCCTCATTTCCTGGAACACTTTCATCTTTTCTGGTATTTTTCCTAATTGATTTTCGTTTGTTCACGGTAAATATAGTGCCGACGGCAATTTCGAGGTGACCTTGGCCACGAAGGCGACCTTGAATTTCACGGGACGCGTCGATTGGAAGCCGCCCGCCATCTACAAGTCCTCCTGCGAAATAGACGTCGAGTACTTCCCGTTCGACGAGCAAACTTGCGTCATGAAGTTCGGCTCGTGGACGTACGACGGCTTCCAGGTAAACATCACCATCCACCTCATACAATTCATCCCACATTAAAATTAACTAATGATATCGTATATTTCTCAACGAGTTCTCTTCATTTCTTATAACAACAGAAAACAGAACTGGGTTAATATATCGAAATCACTAATTTAGATTCAAGATTACAGTTACGCTACCTAGCAGCCATTTCAGGAACTTGAAAATATTATCCTGGTTTCTGTCTTGGCCGTTCTACTTATAATTTTTTGCCGCAAGCCTCTACGATCGATAGTTTTCCTGATACAGTACCTCGCAGTCTTAGTGGTCCACCCTGTACAATTTTTTGAAATTCATGGAATCAAGGGGGGTACTTGTAGTACATTATATATCTAGGGGATAAAGTGGTATTCCGGCTGTAATTTGTCGAGGAATTCAAAAACACTTTAGTCCCGAGGTGTATATACTTATATGCCCTTCAGGATAGATGAAACTTCGAGGAAAAGATAAGAAAAAGAAATTGAATGCTACTAAACGGTAGTTACTCTATTTCTAAGACATCATCGGAGGTGCTAATTTACCATATCAACGACCTCAGTAACTATGGTGATCCAGATTATGATTGTCATCGGCAACTGAAAATCTTGGTGTGTTATGGCAAGTAACTAAGTAAAACATAAATAATAGTTATTTAACCAACTAGTGTATTAATGAGGGCGATTAATGATCGAGATATTTTAACGTGCGAGCGAAGCGAGTGCGTTAATGTTCGAGATCATTAATCGCCTTTTAATATACAAGTTGGTTACAAAATTTTTCCGTCGACTATATTTCTCATTTCTCCTGCAATGAAGAAAACTTGGTTCGCGAAGTCATCATTCATCCGGAAACTACTGAGAATCACCCAGTAGCCTTGTTACTGACATTAGTGTCATTTGACATTTGTCGAAATGATCAACATAGGAAATAAATTCCTTGTGTTAGAAAACAGGGATTAAAATCGTGTCAGAAACTTGGAAAGGCGAACCCGTTAACGGAAAATCGTTGATGAAATCAATATTTTCGATTTAGATGCAGATTCCGCTAGTTATAGCATAAACAATGAATGCACGCGGTGTATGTTTGGTTGCCTATAAAACAATCGTGCATTAATAGACAAATCGTCCATTAATAGGGGTCATTAATGAACGATTTCATATACATTAAACTTAGTCGTTAATACGAGGTCGACGGAAAATAAATATTAGTCAAATACGCCACACCGATTGAAAGTCGTTGATCGCGATGGAACAAATCGAAAAGGCAGCTCAAGAAGCAATTAATACCAAGAAAACCTGGAGAACAATATATGAAACAGTTATCTGAGTTTATCAAATGGTGCAAAGAACGGAACGTAGAAAAATGTACAGAGGAAAAGGTACTGTTGGCATATTTCTTGGAAGAGTCGAAAAAGCTAAAAGCTTCAATGCCACAATTGCAACAGTCGAAAATACATTTCTTTTTTCCCCGAAGATAGGGGATGAAGGAAGTTACCCTTCAAAGCCTCGAAGTGCATAAAAATCATTTGCACATTAATTTCTGCCTTTGGAGTTGATGGTCACAATCACCCTGAAAACGATGAAAATCGAAGAGGAAGACATGCTGGGCTCTACATTATCACGGCCACCTTATCTTGGTCATACTGAATATCGAAATGGTCTACCTTTAAAATTTCAGAGGCCTGGATGTCTGCCTCATCGATTTTTATAGCTTTTATAACAAATCTGAACATCAGGCCAATAAGCAGATATGTGCGCCTAATATAGCATATCTTTTTTCACATTTCTTGAGCGCTCTCAATTGACAACTAACTCAAGGGCACTATGCTGGCAGACCATTTTACTGTGATCTTTCTTATTCTTCTTTATCGAACAATTCAGGTCTGCCAAGTGTGCACTTCATATACACTTTCTCAAATTATAAAAAGAACTCAACAGAATGTTCACTACAATAGGCATACAGAGCCTTGGAAGTCTGCCCCTCCGATTTTCCTTGTTTATAGGATGATTGTGGCCATCAGCTCCAGAAGAAAACATGTGCAAATGATCTAGTACTTTTTTTTCTCAAACAAATTCTAAGTGCTGTCAATGACAACGCAGCGCTATCGACAGAAAAAAAGATTTGTTGTACCAACAAAATTATTTTGGTCAATTTTCGTTTGGCAAATTAAAAAAATTCTTGCGAAATCAACAGAACAAATATCAATTCCAAATAAGCGACTCATTCATCAAGACAAAATATTTAGATTGAAAAATTTGTTAACTTGAACAAAGGTTTGATTCATTCAACAATATTTATAGTTGACCTAAAACATTTTTGTTGATTCAACCATCATCTTATTGTTCAATCAATCATAGGCATCATGTCTATTAGACAAAATCAGATTGAATTTGTTTCAACGAAGGACAACATCATATTTTGTTGTTTCAACAATCATTTTATTGTTCAATCAATCATATGCCCTTCTTCTATTCGACAAAATTGAATTGATTTTGGTATCTGTTTTTGGGGAACATGCTGCCAATATTTATTCGATATGGTGTTTGTTTTACAAAAAAAAGGAGTTAGATATATGTGTAAGGCTAAATTCAGGGATTCTTGCAGACCATTATTCGTAAAATACAATATTTTGACATTACCTTGCATTTTTATTCTAGAGACGGTATGTTTGATGCAAAAAAAATATAAAAATGATATTTTCGCTACGTGCCAAATCAATACAAGAAACATACTCAACATACGTTTACCAATTCCAGTGTCTTCAAAAGTTAAAAGTTCCTTCATTTATAATGGTAAAAAAATATTCAATCACCTGCCAAATGAGATAAAATGTATAACAGATAACAAAAAATTCAAAAAAATTGTTAAAAAGCTTCTACTATCAAAAGCATATTACTCTTTGGACGAATTCTACGCAGATAAAAATGTTGACAATGGACTGCATAATGTTTTTTGTTTAACTTGAAAAATTCATTTTTTTTACTTACAATGTGACTGTGGATATCTTATATTTATATTTCATATGTATATGTGCTTGATGTTGTTAATTTTCTTGTTTTTATCCTATTTTGTGTCACGTAATTGTACAAATTGACTGTGTATATTTTTATATTCATTTATTTTACAACATATGAACTTTTTCAATGAGAGTATATCTTCAGACAATAAAGTATATTATTATTATTATTATTATCAATATTATATTCTGTTGATTTCACATCATTATCAAGTAATATGATGTTGTTTCAAAAATATTATTTTGAACTGCACCAACAGAAACATAAAATCAAAAAAACATTTTTTGATTGATTATCTAGTTTTATTTTCGCCACTAGATGGCGTTCCTGTCCACCTTCCTACGCTCGCCTCGATAGGAGTGTACAACTTCAACTCATCTCTAATCAAGAAAATCAATCTATAATTTCACTCAGTTTTGAAATATTCTTTTATTGGAAAATTAAACGAAATTGTTGATCCTAGATATAATTTTGTTATTCGAATAACATTTTTCATTGGATGGAAACATTATTTTGTGATATTCAGGATATACAGGGTGGGCCACCATCAGTAACGCCTCGGTCTCTAGAAGGCTAACCACTTATCTTCTTGGAATTCTTCCTCTCTAGGAAGTTGCATGTCAACATAGGCTACCATTTAAAATTATTTCGAAACATACAGGGTGTCCCCAAAAATCATAAAACACTGAAGTTAAACTCTTTTCTATCGAACTCCCTATATATTATTTCATTTTCAGATTCTCCCTGATGAGCTGATTTCAACGACCCATCATACTTGGGGTCTAGCAGTTATAATTACTGAAATATAGGGATTGAAAAATCGAGATTTTCCAAGTTCAAGAATTTTTTGTGTCGAATCTATTCATAATTGGTCAAAACAGCTCACATGTCCCTATCTCAACTTTTGATTAACTATCTACTGATATTTAATTGGGAAATATACCGGGTGATCAAGATTCTGAATTCTGCACCACCCTGTATTTGTTTCAATTAAATGTCAGTAGATAGTTGATCAAAAGTACAGATAGGGACATGTGAGCCGTTTTGACCAATTATGAATGGTTTAGACACAAAAAATTCTTGAACTTGGAAAATCTCAATTTCTATCATACCCTATATCTCAGTAATTATAACTGCTAGACTCCAAGTATGATGGATTGTTGAAATCAGCTCACCAGGGAGAATCTCAAAATGAAATAATATATAGGGTGTTCGATTGAAAAAAGTTCAACTTCAGTGTTTTGTGATTTTTGGGGACATCCTGTATGTTTCAAAATAATTTCAAATGTTAGCCTATGTTGACATGCAACTACCTAGAGAGGAAGAATTCCAAGAAGATAAGTGGTTAGCCTTCTAGAGACCGAGGCGTTACTGGTGGCCCACCCTGTATATTGTTATTTCAAAATATTCACTTTCTGAAAAACTGAACATTTTGTCACTCGAATGAAATAACATGATATACTTACAATCAATAAAATGACTTCATCAAAGTGGAGATATTGTATTATAGGAACAAAATACTGTTGTACTGACCAGGCAAATTTGTTGAAGTAATAAAATATTCTGTCGTGGATATATGACACTCTGATTTTGTTGAATTTTCAGAATTTTTGTTGATTGTAACAAAATATTTTTTCGTCTGGCAGACGCGGTCCTCAATGTTTTTTATGGAATAATTATCGCTAATAATAACATCTGCCACGTGTGCTGATCGACAGAAATTTTAGCGCCAGCTTCCTTACTATGAAAGTTCTTCTTCAGCACATTCTATCCGGATCAATGGATTCCACGAAGCCTTCTCGACCACCTCGTACAGTGGCCCATGAAATTGACAAAGTATTTCAGGTACCTCCTCGAGCCATCATGCTGAAAGCGGAAATCGGAAGTGGAACTTCCCGTTGAGGATTATTAGCAAACGTGGGGCGAGAGGAATTTGCGGTGACTATACGAGTATTCGACCGCCTCTAATCAATGAAAGGA